CCCAGAATTCCCCAGCCAGCATGGCTGGCTGGGGAATTCTGGGAGTTTGAACTCCACATGTCTTAAAGTTGCCAAGTTTGAAAAACACTGGCTTATGCCACAGGAAAAAAAAAAAAAATGTCCATTTGCCTTCAGGCTGTGCTACAGCAGGCCAACTTAGCCAGGTTGGCAGAAGCCCTTTTTAAACTCAGTGCTAGGGATGCATCATCCTTTGATAGCATGGCAATCCACGGAAGGGTGAAGAGCAGAGCTGAGAAGAGGAACTGGTAGTAAAGCTTTTTTGCAGATTTTCTGCCACTAATCAAGGCAGGCTTCAGAGAGCCATCAAGGTGCAACTTCGCTTACCGTTTTGCACGTTGCCACGCGACATTTCACTTCTCGGATATTCCTCATCTTCTCTTCCATTTGTTCTTTTTTCACCAAGGGCTCAAAGTAACGTTCCTGCAGTTCAGCCTCAAACTGTGATAAGATTGTGAGGAAGAGACTGACTCTGAGATTAAATCTTTTAATCTTGTTGCATGAAACAACTGGCATAAATAGCATGAATTCTGACAACAAACTTCCTTCCTTCCTTCCTTCCTTCCTTCCTTCCTTCCTTCCTTCCTTCCTTCCTTCCTTCCTTCCTTCCTTCCTTCCTTCCTTCCTTCCTTCCTTCCTTCCTTCCTTCCTTCCTTCCTTCCTTCCTTCCTTCCTTCCTTCCTTCCTTCCTTCCTTCCTTCCTTCCTTCCTTCCTTCCTTCCTTCCTTCCTTCCTTCCTTCCTTCCTTCCTTCCTTCCTTCCTTCCTTCCTTCCTTCCTTCCTTCCCTCCCTCCCTCTTCCTAGCTGCCCATTTCACAGCAGTAATGCTGGGCAGGGTACAAAGATTAAACCCACCCCATAACATCTAAACCACAATACCTTAGTTAAAACAGCAAGCCCCCAAACAAACGAGAGGAACCATCTTGTCCCAGTTACATCCCCCTTCATACCCGGTCCAGCAGGAAGGGCATGTTGAGGACCCTGTCGGCTAAAGAATTCCAGCTGGTGGGGTCAAGGCGGAGAGCCTTCTCCGCCATTGCCCCTGCCCTGTGGAACATCTTGCCCCCTGAGGTGAGGCCGACCCCCACCCTCCTGGCTTTCTGGAAGAGTGTGAAGACCTGGCTCTGCCACCTGGCATGGGGGCTCGCAGCACTGGGGCTGGCTAGTGGTCTGATGTTGCTTTCCTCATCTTTTAACCCTGTATATATATGTATGGATGTATTTTGTAAAGATTTTTTATTGTTGTTATCATTTTTTATGTGTAAGCCACCTAGAGTCACTTGTATGGTGAGATGGGCGGTGTAGAA